TTTTTATTTACACTATTTGGTTTTCGATTTTTGATTAACATATTAATTTTTTTTTTGTTATATAGTAGTTATAGTTATTTTTACGTCCAATTTTTGGATTGGTTGTTGTCTATTCTAATGGTTATTTTGGTGGGATTGGTTTGTTAATTTGATTATTATTATTTACTTTATTTGGGTTGATTATTTTTACTTGTTTTTTTATGTATTTTATTTTTATTTATTCTATTTCATCTATTCTGATGGGAGTTGTTTGTTAATTTGTTTATTATTTGTTTGGGTTAATTTATTTTATTTGTTTTTTATATTATTTTGTTTGTATTTATTCATTTTAATTTTCAATTTTTAAGTAATGTAGTAAACATTTGTTTTTGTGTCTGCATTTTGAGATGAGCTCAGATCGTTTATATAGTAATTTATTTTGGTAATTTTATTTTTTTACTATGCTAATGAAACATCAAAAACCGAAAAGAATAAATAATACAAAATGAAAATGAAAAACAAATGAATTGACCCAAACAAATAAATAAAGAAAGAAACAAACAAGCCATTCCCGCAAAAAAATAACCGTCAGAATAGATTATCCACAATGCACCACTGACCCATATATACAAATAGTCAAGGAAAATTCCAACATTCGCAGCCTGACGATTGTGCCTAGCATGAAACAGCCTGTCACCTCTGAGTGTTGACTTCAATGTTCACTTTTATATTTATATTTACATACGCTCTATCTCTGATATTGAGCACTTTATCTCATAAATATAGCACACCTTAAAAGTATATTTCTTCATATATATATATATATATATATATATATACTAGCAGTAGAGCCTGGCATTGCCCGGGGATATAACAGTAAGAGATAGATCAAGTATCCACCATCATAAAGACTGAAAAATAAAATTGACAAAGATTATTGTTTAAGGTTGACAGACACACATGTCTTAATTAGTTTTTTTTTTTTGTTTTTTACGAATTGGTCAAACTCAAACAAAAATATTGTTTTCAATTGTTATGAGTCTCTACCGATTGAATGGAATTTTTAAAGCATTCTGAATGTAAAAATAAAGAAAAAAGTGTGCAAAGTGTTATGTTGAAATCGGTTGAAAAATGTAGGTAGCCTTTCTGTAATCTTTTAGTTTTACAATTTATGATTTTTACTTATTGAATACAGTAAAAAAAATTGCCTATTTTGCTTGTGGTGATTCATAATTAGAATTCTGATTTGAATATATTTCCCACTCGTTGTTTCTAATACAAAAAATATTAACTTTATTTGGGTTTATTAATTATGATCTAACAAATCTTATTCATTTAGTAGCCTTTCTGTAATAATAATCTTTTTACAATTTATGATTTTTTACTTATTGAATACAGTAAAAAAAATTGGACACCATGTGTATTTAAAGTAGTTTCCGATTATTATTTTTTAGTTAGGAGGACTTGTGTATGTTTAGATTTCATTATCTTTCCTAAAGATAAAGAATTATCCGATGTTTGGATTCGTATAAATCAGTAGAGATCGTTAGATTATTGTTTAAGGTTGACGGACACGCATGTCTTAATTAGTTTTTTTTTTTTTTTTTTTTTTTTAATTGATCAAACCCAAATTCAAACAAAACATTGTTTTCAATCGTTATGAGTCTCCCGATTGAATAGAATTTTATTATAAACAATTGTCTTGTAAATGGAATTTTTAAAGCATTCTGAATATTAAAAATAAAGAAAAAGTGTGTAAGAGAATAAGAAACACTACCTGCCAAAAAAAAAAAAAAAAAAGTGAATTTTGTTTTATCGGCTGAAAATGTAAGAAATCCGATCCCATATATAAAGGAACACACACACACAAAACAACCTGGGTTTTTAAGCTGATGTGAGTTGTCCCCTTTCATTCTCAATGATGTCTCTTAATCGTGTTTTCAAATTGATTTTGTGCAAAAACAATTGTATTTTTCCCATTTTTGGCGCCGTTAGAACCACCACAAGGTAATTTTATGTAGTCCTGTGAAGTTTTGTTGAAATCGGTTGAAAAATGTAGGAAATCCGATCCAATATATAAACGTTACAGACACACACACACACACAATCTGCGTTTTATAATAAGTAAGATAACTGAATGGGTAAATATAAGTAAGTATGCGAGTGATTGATCGTATGCAAATACATATAAATACTCTATAGTGTAAAAAAAATAGTGTTCAATGTTAAATAACAGAGCTATTTAATATATATATATATATAATACAATACCTTACATTAACTGCACAGCTCCAAGTTTTATGCTGAAGCAATTGTCAACTGCTGGAATTATTATTTTTATTTTGGGTTGACAGCAGTTTTTTTAAAAATTTCTGTTTCTTGCAAGATACTTTATTGTTGAGGTAGAATATTATTGTTGTTAAAATATTTAAATGAATTATAGTTTAATTGTTTGGCTGAGATTAATATATAAGATTGAAAATAAAGTTGGAAATAAGAAATATAAATTCTAATTTAGAGAGATGCTGATGCAGAAAAAGTAAGTAAACAAGAAGGGACATTGGAAACTCAAGGGATGTAACTCTATTTTTTTTCCAAAATATCAAAAGAGTAATAACATTACTAATATAAATAGTAATATTACTAAACTAACTAAAACTAATGATAGCAATAATAATAAAATATGCTGTGATAAAATAAATAAGGTATTAATAAAAATAATACATATCAATGTAAAATAAAGTAAAATGAAATAAGAACCTTATATCGGAACATATAAATATATAAATAAATTTGTTAAAATATTTAAATGAATTATAGTTTAATTTTGAATTTGAATTTAGGCCCAGATCAACATTTAAGGTTGAAAATAAGAAATATCAATTCTAATTTAAAGAGACGCTGATGTAAAATGTAAACTATAAGTGAAATCAAGAATTTTGTGCTGTCCCTGCCTCCACTTGAATTCTGCAGTGTCTACTTCTTCACAGTTGTATAAGAAGGGGAGTCCTCAGCAAGTGTCTGTACCATGTCCTCATTGATTTTATAACCTTTCTTTTGCAGATACTTTATGACAGCCTGGGCCTCTGTTTTGTCCATTTTTAAATTTGTCATACACCTCTCCCCTTTGTATGAGTCTCACCTACACAGAAATTAAGACAGAAATCTGAATTAGTTTTTCTAGTTTTATAAGAAGTGGTAGGCGGTTACCACAACAAAAATGTTCAACTATGGCTCTTCTGGGTGAGGCTTAGAACTTTTTGAACGACCCTTGTATGTGTGTGTGTGTATATATATATAAAATAGAATATATAAAAAAAGAATTTGCATTGAAAAATGCTGAATATACATGAAGAGTTTTATACTTTTAATGTTTATGCATGTATTATATACACACACACACACACACACACATATGGAAAAATGAAACAAAATTTACAGTAAATTTTAAACTAAAATGGTCTGGAGGACCTTAAATTAGGCACCAGGATACCAAGGCACCTCTTCATGGGATCCATGAAGCTGGTAAGGTACCAACAAGTTCTCAGCTACGTCAAGAATAATAGCTTCACTGTTAAAATATTTTCTGATGAGATCTGCTCAAAAAACAGGTCCATTCTGGATTTGAGGTAATTGGCTATTTTAAAGCCGGCCACAAACAAGATCTCCAAACCCCTAATATCAATACTTCTAAGGTTGGTATCAAGGATGAAGGTGTTATAATGTCAAAGGTCATCATAGTTAAGAGTTGCTTAAGCCTCTTTTGGGCCATGATTGAAAACAATTGAAGCCTCATTGAATAATGTCCAAGTATGGTATCTTTGAAGTTGAGACTCTCGTTCAGTACAGAGATACTCAGCTGGTGTTGACTGATGTTGATTACTGCCTTCAGTGTGTGGGGAGTGGGGAGTGATGGACCTTTTGTGTCACCTTCTGATCTTTCAATCTTTTTAATTGTTGTACTTGGCAGGCTTTGACTGTATTGAATTCATGTCTGAAGGATTTATCCAGGTTATGCTGGATCCTCTTTCGGTCATCTTCTTTGTAATTTTGTTGAAGAAGGCCACGAGCAATTGGGAGATATCAGGTTGCAATTTTTGTTTTTAATCAAAAGGGGTTATATTGGATTCTTTCTTGGATAAGGGCATATCCCACTTTTTCTGCAATCAGATGGGCTCTCCTTCAATTGACAGAAAGCCTTGGTACCAAGATCTCATTGAATAAATTGTTTTTTTGGTGGATTTACACCCTTTTGTATTCAAAACCTTTATTTATGCATAACTGAGTTTTGATGGTTGCAGTAATTTCACATTTTCTCAAACATCAAAATATTAAAAAACCAAAAAACAAAAACAATTCTACAAAATTGATTTTTCAGTGGGTGTCTTTATATATTAGCTTTGTGTAAAAGTTCTCAGCAAAAATATTTTTCAACTGTATTCAGTTTTCAAAAAAAGAGTGCTGGGAACTTTTGCACACACTTTATTTGTTCTATTCTGTTTATAGGTACCTGCTTTCATCTTACTTATTATAAAACGCAGATTGTGTGTGTGTGTGTTTCGTTTATATATGGGATCGGATTTCCTACATTTTTCAACCGATTTCAACAAAACTTCACTTTTTTTTTGGCAAGTAGTGTTTCTTATTGTCTTGCACACTTTTTTCTTTATTTTTACATTCAGAATGCTTTAAAAATTTAATTTACAAGACAATTGTTTATAATAAAATTCTATTCAATCGATAGACTCATGACGATTGAAAACAATGTTTTTGTTTGAGTTTGGGTTTGACCAATTCGTAAAAAAACCCAAAAAAAACAAACTAATTAAGACATGCGTGTCCGTCAACCTTAAACAATAATCTTTGTCAATTTTATTTTTCAGTCTTTATGATGGTCGATACTTGATCTATCTCTTACTGTTACATCCCCGGGCAACGCCGGGCTCTACTGCTAGTATTGAATAAATGAGGTAATTATGAAAAGGAAGGTTTGTAATTCAGTTTTTTTTTTTCTATTACAGAAAATCTTTCCTTCATTGGATAAAATGTCTGCAAGGACTGACTGCCTTGTCTGTGGGGTGTTGGATTAGCCTTCCAGTTTGCTGTCATATAATTGGTCCTATATCTCGGCGTCTGGCCAACCTTCCTTATGTCATTTGGATTGTAAGTAATGGCCATTTCTTCTTGGCTTCACTTGTGACAATTTCCAAATTTCAGGATCAAATTCACTTGTTTTTATTTCAAAGTTCATTTCTTGATCAGATTATAAAAATGACAAAAGATCAAAACAATTCAAAGTTGGCAATAATTTCAAGAGATGTGTAAAAAAAAATCTGATGAAACATGGGAAATACAAGCTAAATTACTGCATCTGTTCAAACTCTTTCATCTTTTTGTTAATGCCTTTATATATATATATATATATATATATTTTAAGATTTTCAGCCTCCACATGAAAGAAGATTACTTAAATAATTTTCTAAAACATCTCTCATATATAAATATAATACATATAACATACATATATATATATATATATATATATATATATATATATATACAAGCCATTATGATTTTATATAAGCATGAAACAAGCAGTCACTGCTGGGTGTTAACTTCTATGTTTATCTTTATATTTACATACACTCTATTTCTGAACCCAGAAAACTATATTTTTATCATATATACTTTGTCATACATCTTCCTTCTAAAATTATTTTTGATATATAAAAATTTATATATCTTTATCCCATATATATATATATATATATATATATATATATATATATATATATATAGGTATATAATCTAAGTTCATCTTAGTAATATAAAATATTAAAACTGATTCACAAAAAGAGCTCAATGTATTTATTATTACAGAGCAAATAATTAATAAACAATAAAAATCCAAAATCATCTCATATGGAGAATAGCCTATATTGGTAGATGAAGATATTGGTCATCTGTCTTATTAACCCCAGTGTGGACTGAGTTTGTGTTAGAAATAGAAATTTAACTGTGAAAGCTAAAAAAAAAAAAAAAACAGTCGTAAAACTAATACAAAATTTATACATTTCAATGTTACAGTCAGATGAAATGAACGAGTCAGGGGAGGGTGAAAGGTATTTGTCTTAAATGGAAGAAGTTTTATAAAATTTAAACCTGAATATTAAACTTATGACATGAATTTTTGGTTATATTAAAAATGAAATATTAATTTAAAATTAAAAGAGGAATAAAAAGGGATTTAAAAATAACTTTAAAATCTATAGATAAAAGGATGTAAGAGATTAATGGAAAGAGAGTAGGGGAAAGTTTATAAATTATAATTAATATAATGTAAAGAACTTATAGAGGGGGGAAATTAAATATAGAAATTAGAATTAGTTATACTTTTGACATTTGAAGAGTTAGAGGGGAGTAAATATTATGGAAATATAGAACTAATTAAGTTAAACCTATATCATAGAAAATTGGATTTGTTTTTATGCCAACATTTTAACACAAATTCATTCCTCTGATTCAATAGTTTGCTTTGATTATTGTATTTTATTATTCTAATTTTTTCTTCTAAACATAAGTTACACCTGTCTCTAAGACTAATAGGAATATGTGCTATTCCCCATATTAGGTAATTTTGGATTTTATTATTTATTAATCATATATATATATATATATATATATATATATATATATATATATATATATATATATATAATAATAATAATGGTTTTGACGTATGAGGATCTGACAGCTTAGTTGATTCAGTTATGAAATTTTGTGATAGTTTTAAGTGACACTTAAGACCCGCTAGTGATTTACAAAGGAGGCCACATATGGAGCAAGAGTGAGGATTGTGAGATGAGATCACTGTTAGATTGGCTGACCTTTTTGTTCTTGCTCTTACTGCTTGAAGATGATTCAGACAAACAGATTGAAAACTGCTGAGTCCACTAAAACACGTTGATCTCCATTCTACCCACTCCAAGACTAAGCGCTCACGGGTGTTATGTGGTATATTGACAGCTGACAAGTTGCTCTTCAGCTTGTCTTTGTATCTTAGCCATGGGCGTCCTACATTCCTGTAGCCCTGATCTAACTGGCTCTACATTAGGATCTTGGGTATCCTGTCATCAGACATTCTCAAGACATGACCAATCCACCATAACTGAGACTGTATGATAAAAGTCTCGATTCCTCCAATATTATACCTATTAAACAGGTCTACATTAGATGTCCTATCTTGAAGGTTAACTCCACAGATTGCACGCAGACAGCTTTTATGGAAAACATCCAGCTGGCGTATCTGGTACCTGTACGGAGTCCACGACTCTGAGCTGTACAAAAGTATGACAAGTACAACAGCTCTGTAAACTTGAATTTTCGTATCCCCGCTCATTCCACAAGCAATGGCAAGGTTTGCCAAAAGCACTGGTAGCCTTAGTAATCCGATGCATGATTTCATCATCTAAAGTTCCACTGTAGTTGACTTTGCTACCAAGATAGGTGAAAGACTTTACATAGTTCAGGGGTTTGTCTTCTACTTTCAATGGTCTCTCTGGAAATTTGTAGACTGGTAGTTTTTGTTTCTCACCACAGAATTGCTTCAGAGTAGGACAAGGTTGGTGCACTACTTCAGTTTTCTTTAAGTGTAAGACCAAATGCTTTACATGCAGCAGAGAAACGATTTATTAGATGTTGGGCCTCCTCAAAGGATGTCGCTACAAGAGCAGCATCATCAGCAAACAACAAATCACAAATAGTTTGCGTACGAAAGTGGGTCTTGGCTTTGAAGCACTGATGATTGAAGAGACCACCAGTTGTTCGAAACTGAAACTTGACGCCACTCTCTGTGTCTGCAAATGCATATTTCAGCATCACCGAGAAGAAAAGGGCAACAAGGACAGGGGCCATGACACAACCTTGCTTGGTGACATTTGTGACATTAAAGGATTCCAACATTATACCATCAGACACGATATTAGCTTTCATTCCTTCATGAAAGGAGATGATGACCGTTAGCATGTTTTCAGGGATGCCAAGTTTCCTCAAGACTTGTCAAAGAGTCTCTCAATTCACAGTGTCAAAGGCCTTCATCAAGTCCACAAACACCATGTACAACTGGTTTTTCTCGTGAACCTTCTCTGCAACTTGACGAAGAGAAAACATCATGTCAATGGTGCCATGACCCGACAGAAAACCACACTGCGATTCAATATAGATGTCGTCAACAAGGTGTATAATGATTCTGTTTAAAATCAGTCTAGCTAGGATTTTGCCTGCAATTGAAAGTAGTGATATCCCCCAATGATTATCACAGACACACCTGGAACTCTTGTTTTTGTAGAGGTGCTTTTATAATCCTGTGGGACACAGCCTGCCTTCCATATCTCCATGAAAAGGAGATGTAACTTTTTTACTAACTTTTGGCCGCCATGCTTATACACTTCGAGTGGAATAGGATCCTTAGGAGTAGGTGATTTTCCAGATGAGATTTACTTGATAGAGTCAATTATCTCGTGATAAGTAGGTTCAAAAGACAACTCTGGAATTTCAGAATTTTGCTCAATTGATGTGATGGCTTCCTCATTAGTAACCGAAGTGGTGTTTAACACAGTTTCGAAATGCTCTTTCCAGCGATCTAAAATGTCTGACTTATCCATCAAGAGAGTTTCACCATCTGCTGTGGAGATTGGAGCAACACCTCTTTTCTGAGGACCGAAAATGCTCTTGAGGCCAGCATAGAAAGCCTTTAGATCCTTTCTATCTGAAGCTTCTTGGAGTTCAGTGGCATTTTCAGACCACCAATGCTTTTTCATGGCTCTGAGAGCTCGTTGAACCAGACTTTTGCACTACTTGTAAGCAATCTTCTTATTGGATGAGTTCTTGACCTCAATCCATGCATTATGAGAAGACTGCAATTGATCTATAAGCTGCTGAACTTCTGTATTATTGTCATCAAACCAGTCTTGATGTTTACGATGTGTCAGACCAAGAACCTCCAAGGATGTAGAATGTGTTGCATCACGCAGAGCTTTCCAAGATGATTTGATATCATTGGTAATGTTTACAGAATCAAGTGCAGCATCAAGTTTGTCAGCTCAGTTTTTGTTTCAGTCAATTTAAGAGGCAGTACTTTAATGTGCTTGGACACTGTAGATTTTATAATCCTTCATTTTTCCAGATGCAGTGTAGTTTTACTCCGAAGTAGAGTGTGATCTGACAACATGTTGTGTGGAATGAATGCGTTATCTTAAAATCTTTTGTCCTGTCTTTTGGTGATGACGTAGTCGATCAGATGCCAGTCTTTTGAATGAGGATGCATTCACGTGGTCTTACGACAGTTGGGTTGCTGGTAGAAGGTATTAGTGATACTAAGGTCAAATTCTTTGCAGATAGTGAGAAGGCGTAATCCATTAGAATTCATATAACCAATACCATGGTGACCTAAAACGCCCTTCCAAGAATGATAATCATTGCCAACACGAGCATTGAAATCACCTGTAAGGACTAATTTATCCTTATGCTGGATTTTGGAGATGACATCTTGAAGGAGATTGTAAAAATGATCTTTTTCTTCATCTGAACTACCTAAGGTTGGTGCGTAGCAACTAACCATCGTCACACGGGTGTTGCACTCCTGATTGAGGGTTAATGCCATTATGTGATCAGATACACCTTTAGGTAAGGAAGGCAGTGAGCTAGCAAGGTCTGGCTTGATGGCGAAGCCAACACCAGATTGGTGTGGCTCTTTCTCAGTCTTGCCAGCCCATAAAAATATCTGCCTTTTTATTCCCTAAGCTGAGAATTACCAACCAGATGTGTTTCACTAATGGCTGCTATGTCGATGTTACGTTTCTTCAACTTGAGAGAAACAAGAGCTGTTTTAAGCTCTGGTGCAGAATCATTGTCCTGAAGAGTGTGAACATTCCAGGATCCAAAATGGAAATTCTTATATTTATTCTGATCTTTTTTGCTGCTTCAACCGTTTTATTGGATAACCAGACAGCTGCAGCAGGCTGCCAAGTCTCGGTGTGAGTAAGCAATGTTTAGGGCTCCTTTTATAGCACCCTCCCCATAATAGGGAAAGCAGTGCAAATCCTAAATAGGGCTGCTTTGTCACTGATGAAGGATACGGACATCACAATTGCTCATGGGTTTGTGAAAGAACGGCCATCACTCATCCGTCTGCCACTGTGTAGAGCTCCAGCTAGAGCCTTCCAGTAATATCCTTTACCTGACCCCGACGCCTTCATTCTCTCGCCAGTGGACCTTGCAAGTGAACTGTGTGGATAAGAATGAATCAAGGTAAACTGCCAGAAAACCCACACAAGTGATTTGATTAAAATGGTGAAGGCTTATGCAGAACCATCCACACTTTTCAGAACTACTGATACACTCAGTCGGTGCAAATAAATGCCACAGACGAAGCAGACAATATACTGCAGGCTTTTCGTGTAAGAGTTTTCCATCTCCTAGACCAATTGTGTTCTATAACACTAAAGAGCTTGGTCAGCCCTGGTAGACACTATTTGCCAATAGTTGGGACCCTAACAGGTACTACCACCTTGGGTCAGGGTGGTCCTGGGAACAACAGCAATTAAAAGTGGTTCCACGCTCCTCAAATCCTCCAATCTCCCAATGAGAAGACTTTGTTGCTGGATGTAGTTTATCGTCATACCCAGAACATTTTATATATATATATATATATATATATATATATATATATATATACACGTGAGAGATTTAGAGGATGGGTGAAGACCAGTGTTGCCTGTTACCCTTAAAAATAAGGTACAGTAGATGAGCAAAAAAGGTACTACTTCTACCCAATGCCTTCTAAACACATAAAAAGGTTTTTTTTTTTGATGTCAGAGTAAACAGTTCAAAATTAAATGTGTTAATATAATGCTATATATACATTTTAAATAATATTAATAAAATAAAATAAGGAAATATATGATTATTATTAGAATATTTTATAATTATTTTTATAAATGTTGTTTTTATATATATATGTATGTATGTGTGTGTGTGTGTGTGTATATATATATATATATATATATATATAAATTATTATAAAGTATAAGAGAAACTTTTATTATTGTTGTTGCTAAAAAAAAAAAATCTGAACAATAAAAATAGGACAAATTGACTAGCAGTAAAAGCAAAACAAAATAACGTTATAACTGGGAACGCATTTACAATAAAATTGAAATTACGTTACTTTGCAAATAAAAAATAAGAAAATGTAAAGAATTAAAATTCATATTAAATGTTATAAAAGAAACTTTGAATATAACTAATAATAGATAAAAAAAAAAGAATCGGTGATAATGAGTCACAAGTCAAAGTTAAGCAAAATAAACATTAAAAAAAATGCTTTCCACTAATTCTGAAAATTATGTCCATTTTCGTAAAAACAACAACAGATAAATAAATGTTACAAATAAATTAAAATTATTCATGCCTCTATATAATTAGTCTAACAAATAAAATACATTAAATATTCTTATAATTCTTAGCGAGAAATTTCACTAGCGAAACAATGATTGTTTTAAAATAAAAAAGATAGAAAGAAAAAAAAAGAAGAAAAATCATTGTATACCACAACTAAAGGAAGGTAAACATGTACAATAAAATTATAAAATACATATATTAAATAGTGTAAATGAATAACATAACTAAAATATCATAAAATAATAAACAAGAAAAATATAAGAATAATCTATGATTAAAAATTAAAAAAAAAACAATTGAGACTTTCCTTAACATCGCTTTCTTAGAGCCATGAAAAAAGACATGTCCCTTTACTCTGACATCAGTGTTCATATATTCAATATATATATATATATATATATATATATATTCTTTAAGATTTTCAAATGCACAGGCTGGTAAACAAAAAAAACAGGATATCTACTCAATGATGTGTATCTACTAAAATATAACATTAAAAGTAATGATAATAATATATACAGGTATACCTCGGGTATACCTGTATATATTATTATTACTTTAAATTATGGCCGCTTTCAACAACTTAAACTAGGAGACTGTCCAGAAGAGGTGCAGGAGATTCCAAAGTCATCTGGGGGCTGCGATTGAAACCAATGGTGATTTTATTGAATAAATTTACTCTTTAGTATTTCAAGATATTTTTGTGTAATTTTGGTAAATATATCTGTTAAAATGAGATGCCAATGTTATTTTCATTTTTGCATAATTTAGACTAAAATTTGTCCATCACACTCTATATATATATATATATATATATATCCTTCCCTTTGGCTGGTCACTACTCATTTCCAAGCACAGGCATCACAGGGTAGCTAGCAAATCCCTATTATTGAGACACCTGCTCAACCCAAAGAGGGTTTCGCATGTGGTTTATACTGTAACTAAACTGAATGAAACTGTTATATATGGAATGCTAAAAGATTTTCTTATTTGGTTGGAATTTGGAAAGTTGTTTGGTTTTTATTTTTCTTCAAATTTTCCCTCTTGCTATTTTTCTTATTCTTTTATTTCTTTTGTGTTTTGTGCACCAAATGGAATGATTTTTTTTGTTGTTGTTTTAGATTGGTCTTTGCTCAATGGTGCTGGCAATTTTCTTGGCTGCTGACTTATTTACAATGTTGTTAACATTTACTCAAAATGATGCTAAAAAACGTAAGTACAGTCAATTGTTTTTATTTTATCCGTTGAGCTTTTCATCTAAATATATTCAATATAATGTTGAGGTTAAAGAGGGAAAGTACAAGGTAACCAAAAAAGTTCTGTCCGTTTTTAAATGAAAAAAAGGAAACGCTTGTGTAACTTATATTTAGTCTTCGAAGTAATCGCATCCATCACCTTCTGCCAACGTGTCTCCAGCTGTTCAATGCCCTTGCTGTAGAACTCGGGGGGTTTTGACGCAAAGAAGTCCGTGAGGGCTTTGCGCAAATCTGCTTCATTGGTGAAGGATTTCCCATGAAGATGATTGTCCAGGCAGTGGAAGAGGTGGTAATTGGATGGCGCAAGGTCAAGTGAATAAGGTGGATGGCACAAAGTCTCCCACCCATGTAGATGTATTTTATCCCTGACCACTCGTGCGACATGCGGCCTGGCATTGTCATGGAGGAAAAGCACACCTTTGCGATTCACCAGTGCTGGCTCCTTCTGGCGCAATGCCTTTTGCACACATTTCAATTGCTGCGAGTAGAGGTCTCCAGTGACCGTTTGGCCCGTTGGTAGCAGTTCATAATGAACCACTTGATGACCTGTCCACCAGACACAAAGTATAATCTTGCGTGGGTGCATAGGCGGTCTTGCGGTGTGAGGAACAGCATCCTGGAGACAACCAATGTCTGGAACGCTTGGGTGTTTCGTACAGAACCCACTTTTCATCACTGGTAAGCACTCGATTGAATAAGGATGCGGTACGGTGGCGAGAAAGCAGCGATACGCAGGCTGCCACTCGTTGTCCCTTGTGGACCTCCAACAGTGTTTGCGGAACCCACTTGCTCAGTTTGTACATCTTACCTAGGCAGTGCAGGTGAAGTCTAACTGTTTCATCGGAAACGTAGAACTGTCTTGCAAGCTCACCACACGTTAGACTACTGTCCTCTTCAATGGCCGCCTTCAGGACTCTGTCATTCAAGACCTGTGGTCGTCCACTGTGAGGCTCATCATGGAGAGACAAATCTCCCGACTTGAATTTTCAAAACCAATGCCTTGCAGTACATTCATCCACAGCACTATCTCCAAACGCTTGACATATGCGGCGACTTGATGCAGCTGCTGATAAGCCCACTTTGAAGTTGTAAAGCAAACAGCCCCGAACAAGATCTCTAGACACTTCCATCCTTCTCACAGCTGTCCAGCTTATAATTGATGGCTGGGCACGGTGCGCATGTTTTTTATAACGTCTGATTTTCCTACTTCCGGCTGTCCGAATTTGAAAACAATTGCTACACGCATTTCGTATATATTTCAACTTCATTCAATGACTAATCAAAAAACGGACAGAATTTTTTTGGTTACCTTGTATATATTGTATAGAGAGATTGTATTTAAAACCTTGATCCCCAAAGGGAATTGATACCATATTGAAGTAACATTTTTTTTTCTCAGTCATAAAACAATTTTCTTTGTTTCCCATATTCTGGTGTTGCCACTTAAACCAAGTAAATTTGAATAATCTATCCATGATCCATTCAATGATCCATTATTTCCTTATTAATTAATTCAGCTTAGCATTTTTATTTTTTCTTACAATTTTCCTAATGTTTTCTAAATGAAATTTGCTTCTTTTTAATTTCTGTTTAATTAAAATTTTAACAGTGAAATGAGAACCAAATTAATTACAAATTAACAAATCCCTAACAACATCAGATCCCAATATGTAAATTATTTTGGCAGTCAGGAATTTTTAATCGTTTCTTGAATTGATGTCTCAATATAAAAACAGCATTGAATTCTTGATCGGCAGAATGTTGGTGTTATATTTGAGTTTAGATTTCTTATGAATTTTGTCATCAAACAGGAGTTGATTAAATTAAAAAATTTCTTTTTTTCAGCAAATCGAAAACAAAAGAAAACTTCCAGTGTAAAGAATTCTAAAATTTGCCAAATTCCATCAAAGTCCGAAAACAGTATCTGTTTAATGGATGCCATTAACTATAATGGTCTGGTGTTCTTCCTTACTTCAAACTTGTTAACAGGGGCAGTGAATTTGGTTATTAAAACTTTGTATGTTCCTCCTTTGCAAGCATTTACTATTCTGACTCTTTATATGTTTATATCATGTCTGGCAATGAACCTGCTTCGATATTGCAATATCGCTCTAAGATTTTGGTAATAAAGTGCACAGTAGATCTTGTTTTTGTACATTTGTGTTTGTTTTGAATTATTCAAAGATGTTTCTCTTTGATTTTCATGACTCAAAGACTTTCTCTCAAATGAAGAGAAATGATAAAAGATTGTGATTGATACATGTAATCTGATCAGAAATTTGAGATTGTATTTGTAATAAAAAGAATAATGGACAATACCCTCTGTCGCCTTATGTTAAGGTTCACTGAGTTCAGTCTCTATCCTAATTGGGGATGGAGTTATTTGAAAGTGGTGGGTGGGACAATTAGTGGGGAATTGATGCACTTTTTTTGATAACATTTACTTGTTGCCATTTTGCATACATTCTTGGTTTTCGAAAGTGGATTATTTTTCAGTTCAAAACTGATCAGCTCTAGGAGACAACAGCCCAGTGGTTTGTGAATTTGATGACAGTAATTTTGAGTTCAATCCCTGGGCTGGGCAGTTTGTACTGTGGAAATGAGGCGAGCTATAACTGAGCAATATTAGCAGTCCTAGACATGGTCATTGGAACAAGAACAGTCTACTCCCATTGATTAAATAAAGTATTCAGTTCAAAATTCTCTGAAGGTTACTCAGATTGGCAAGCAACTGATGAAGGCCAGAGGGTACAATGGTTGAAATGTTATGATAATAATAACAACAGAGATGAGGATAATAGTCTGCATGTAAAAAATTTAAATAATGATAAATCCAAAATCCAGCAAATGCATCTACATTGAGAGCAACTCTCAATGTAGATGCATTTGCAAAAAAAAAAAAAAGTAATTACAACTTTCTTTTGCACAACAATTGCAGATCCCACATTGCAGAAATACTCTGTGAAAAACCGTTGCATTTGATTTGGGAAATTCTACCCGACATGGCACCCTGTCATAATAATTTCCTTAAAATTGATCCATGCCTCTGGAATGAAAATATTGTCAAAATGTTTTGTCTATAACTTTGTGGCGTGTCATTTACTTTCTGAATATTGTTTGAGCATTTGAATCTTTTCTTTGTATACTTGATCTTTTTAAAACAATGTTTATATTTAAACCTGATGAGGGATGGAGAATGAGCTGGCTGAAATGTGTCAACATGGAGTATATGAAAAAGAGGTTTATTGGTTTAAACAATATTTGGAATATGAAAGTGGCATTACAAAATACATTCGATTTGAAATCAATATCGTTCTATTTGAAAGAAATTCATAATTTGCTGAAATGTTGGCAGAAATTGATTGATTCATTTTCTATGGCTTATCAACCCCACATTGGCAGAAAGACGTAAATAAGTGAGTCTCTTAAATAATCGCTTTTTTGTGTCATTTTTTGATAAATTTGTGAACAAAAAATTATTTTTTTACCAACCCAATATTTTTGTTGATAAATAAATAAAAAATTTTGAGAAAATTAAAAAAAAAAAAGATAAAATTGCAGATTGACTATCATTCTATTTGTAGAAAAAAAATTTAGATTTTATGACCTAAACCTGAAATTTAAAGAAAGAAGAAGTGATTATTTTTATCTGAGACTGAATCTGTTTTAGTTTCTCTTTCATGTTAATTCATAATTGACACAAATTCTGCTTTTTGCATTGGGAATATTAAAAGTGTCTGATTTGAAATGAAATGACAGAGTTGTTCGATTCTTTGATAACTGGTGAATTTAGTTGAATACTTTGCCAATTAGTTGAAAGTATTCATTTTATGCTTCGGTAAATAAATTTCTGAAATTACTGCAATAAAATGTGAGATTATTTGAAATGACAGAAAAGTGAGGAAATAGAATGAGTGGCCAGGAAAGAGGACTGGGGATAAAATTGAATGGGAAAAACAAAGCACAGGAAAAAGAAATTGTAATATTACTTTAGAGACAGAGAAATCTGTACTTCATAATGGGTTCTGTCTGTAAAAGAGTCTTTGACAGCAATCTCCATTCAAGTGAAAATAGATGGATGATCAATCAATTATTAATTGTCTCTTCACAAATAGAAATAGCCTGGAGAAATGGCTTATCCATAAAAAGACTGTATTGAACCCCATTTCCCTAAATTGCTACGTATAACCCTATGTTGATTTGGGGTTGAAATAGGTGCACATTTCCCATCTGCACCAGAGTTTGGTGTTCAAGCTCAGATAAAACCCAGAATTTCAAATAATGTTTTTTAAAACAAGAAGGAAGATTGACCCAATATAAACTTCCTCCCTCCATACTTGAATCTTTTGTCATAGAAAGTTTAGTAAATATCAAAACATCCCTTGAAACATTTTATCTTTGTCTAACTTCTATGCTTTTTGTCAATATAAAAACTTTAACGATTTCCTGCATTGTGCTGGGTTGAATTCTTTAGGAAACATTTTTGATACACAAAAGTATTTTCACTGACCATCATATTCCTGGAAAGCCAATTTTTTGGCAACTTTGTAATGGTTATTGTTAGCATTGTCTCATGTTAGCAGACGACAAATTGTTTCTTTAATGCCTAGCTCAATCTATACCTTTTGTGGTTTGCAGGCAAGTACCATGTCTTTCTGCTAATTTCTTAGTGTTTCATTAATAATCAATTTATTTCTTCTTGGACAGAAGTGAAATATGTTTACACCAGAGGTTTTTTTCCATTATATAACCAAATGCTGTTTTATTCTCGAATCCAAACGCTGGGACGTCCTCCCTATGTAATATATATATATATATATAAATAAAATGTGTAGGACAAAATCTGCCATAGTGTCTCTCCATTCTACCAATGCGACGACTGAACAAAGGCGGATTAGTAAGGAAATATTCTTCATCAACAAGTTCAAACCCATAATTAATTCATTGCATAAATAGATTCTACCAAATTCCCCTTAGCATAAACGACATATGTAGCCAGTTACGTCCCTTGATTTTCATTTTTCTCATAGGTACAAAACAATAAGTTTTAACACGTGGAGAGCGAAACAGTTAAAAAAAAACTTTTTGAAAAGCTAAGCGAAACAAGTTAATGTAAAAAGTATTTAAAAAAAAGAAAAGAAAAGGAAAACAACATTATTTTTCTAAGAAAAAAAAATACTGAAAATCCAACTGTAAGTAACAAAGATTTAATTTTTCTCTGTAAAAATACATATATTATAAATAAATAACGCTATATTAAATATTAGGTGCCTTTTTTCCAATCCTCATTTTATCCAATCCTATATATATATATATAGTTAAACACAACTAATTTGTCTTAGATAAAACAAGGCCCTGAAGATGACATTGCTAATGTTGAAAGTACTCGGAGTAAATGAACATGCATCAATATGGTAACTTTTTTCTTTTAATAAGGAAACTAAGCAGCTTGTATAAGAGGATCATATTAAAAGTAAGTAGACAAAACTAAATTATTTAATAAGACATGTCTTAATGGAAACATACTGCCAAAATATATGCAATATATATATAAATAAATAAATAAAGAGAGAGTGAGTGAGTATTGACAAAGAAATCAACACTGACTATAACGACTTTCAGTTGCACTTCTCAATTGATCTTCAGACCATGTGTCAACATTTTCTCTCTTTAGAAGTCACTGGGGCATTAAGTGAAATTGAAGAAGGAATAAATCGGCTCTTTTCCTGTTTAGGTCCCATGGATGAAAATGGAGCGACCACTCCAGGGCGCCGGTATATAGAGGCCGTGCGCTGCCCAGAAAACTATGCACCCCCCTAACTATCGGCCGTACTGACAAGATACATTTAGGGATGGCTTGGCTGCAGGTTTTCTATTTGGATTTCCCACAAAGCAACAAAAGTTTCAAATAAGCGCTTTCCTTCCTCTAGATGGACTGCCTTCCTCGACTATCGAACTCCATCTACATGAAACAACTGGTTATGAGGCGCCATTTTTTCGTCCATTCTTTTGCTTGGAGCTAGACTTAATTATCAGATGTTATTTAAGACGCATGCCACGGGGGCATTTTATAGACAGTGTCCCCACTATCAACCCCTGCCAAGGTCAAACTTTGGAACATATATAATGCACACATATAAACATTATATACGTTATGTATTTTAGAAGAAAAATTAATGGTTTTATAAATATATAAAACGTTAAGTAAAAGAAAACTCAGTAGAAAACAAGAAAAATTGCTAAGTAGTACATAAATAAACAAATAGAAATATCGAAAAGTTTGTTAATTTTAGAAAAAGCTAGCAGAAACAAAAAAAAAAAAATGAAAATCTGTATCGGGATTTAAGCCTAAAATACTCGGAGATTCTGAAATTATTATTTAGCGAACAATAAAATCATTTATACTGTCTTTTTGACAAGACCAACACCTAAACTATTAATTAATGAGAAAATGAAAGAGAGTAGAAAATACAAAGTTGATAAAATATAACTTTAGGTAAAACAAAACACAGAAAGTAAAAATAAAAGAAATGATCTTCAGGTTAGTTCTAGATAAATAAATAATAATACAGAAAAAACCCGGTAACCGTGGGAAAAGTTAAAAGAAATAATAATATATATATATATATATATATATATATATATATATATATAACTTCAAATAAATATAATCATCATCTCATATATAAAGTACAGTGTATCTGTGTTTGTGCGTCTGTGTATCCAAGCAACTCCACCGTTCCCACTGGTCCGATTTCAATGATTCATAGCTCATTCAAAAGCTCTAGAAAAGTTAGGCACAGGGAACGATTTTGGTTGAGCTCAGATTCAGGGTTGCCAGATTATGCGAGGTCAAAATTATATATTAATATATTATACTAGCCATTATCGTTGCTTTCATGGTTCAAGGGGAGAAACTCTTATTTTCCATTTGTATCTAAAATTGCAGTGCACGTTTTATTATAAACTACCTTAAAAGCCGCCCTATTGGGCGCCATTTAAGCTTAGTCCTGTGGAGGACACTTGATTTGGCCATCATCACAATAGCTAGGGAGAAGTAGATGCGATAGGCATCAATAAACTACAGAAGAACTCAAAATTGGTCGCTGCATTTAAGTATTGAATTAATGTTTAAGCTTATCTTTTAAAAGTTCAACGATAATTCTTCGGCTGCCATTTAATTTAAAGACGATTTGATGTACGTAAATCCTTATTTTCCGTACAATTTTTTTTATTTCATCGGCGACAGAACAGGACACAATTTATAAGATAAAATTAATATAGTGTAAAGATGGGGAAATAGAAATTAGAATTAGTTATACATTCAACATTTGAAGAGTTAGAGAAACATAATAACTAATTAAGTAAAACGTATATTATTGAATCTATATGAATAAACGCGAAATTCTGGGGTTAAAAAGCCCCAACTCAACTTTATAGTAATTTATACGCTAAAAGCTCAATATCTGCATTATATATTATCTACTTCTAGGCAATCTCACTTTTCACGTTTAACTAATTTGCATATGGATTTAAAAAAAAGTTTATTTCATTAATTAACTGCTCTTCATTACTATTCTTTTATTCGAGGATTATTTTGATTTTCATATCAAAAATAGTTCTGCTTAGGAATATTGTCTTATATAGTGCAGAAAAGTGTTTGAAATTTACATTTTACTTGGCCTTCAACAAGTTGACATCTATTTGTAAAACTTTCCTTAACTATAACATGTTCATTTAAAATGTTTGTTTCAAATATTTTAAGTAGTGAATATATCTTACTTTGCGTAGTGATAGCGTGCGGGCGAAGCCTGCTAATAATATATATGAAAAATGAATTAAGATGATAGTGAATTATATTAAATTAGTAAATTATTTTTAAAGCAATATTTACGTTTTTCAAATTTTCTTGAGTTCAGAACATGTGTGTGTGTGTTTGAAGAGGTACTAATAATCTTATCAAATGAATAAACATAAAAATTTCTTTCCGGAATCCGTTTTTGGTTGAAAAGTAGACAAAAAAGGCAAATGAAGTGACTTCGAACGACTAAAAATGAATTGCCGAAGGCCGGCATTTCCGTCCATTGGATGAGTAGAGACTTGGCGGTGGCAATCCAAAGAAACGCGACTGCGCATGAGCAAATCCAGTTTTCCTGTTTTCACGAACAACATTCCTCTAAAAGTTCAATATTTAATCTCTTCTGCAGATGTTGTGCCATATAAAATGATTTTCTTCTTCCTTTTTTATTTTTTGTTTAGGTTTCATTTATGTTGAAAGTGACATTTTTCTTCTCCTCAGTTGGTTGTTGAAATCACAACACTTTCATCTTGAAAACTATGGACATTTTCCTATTATACGACAATCACTCACAAGAAGTAAGGGTCACGTTGGTATCGGAAATGCCATGAAAAATTCTCGTCGCCGATTTGTAGTTTGATATCTAAGTGTTACGTATATTCGAATTAACTCAATGGAAGAATCCTTGCCGAGTAAATTCAACCCAGACGAAAAGAAGTGATGCCTTTTTCTCCTGCCGTCAATCTACGTCAACCATGAGATATGGATTTATAGAAATTCAGACTTTTAGATGTTAATAGACTTTTCAACTACTGGATAAAGATTTCATCCAGAGGGTAAAGAGTGTATTGGTTTAGATGTTTGCCCATTGACTCAAACTGAAAATCATGAATAATTCGACTAAAGAAACGGACTGAAATCCTGTCAGTAGAGCAAGGGTCAAACTGCTCTTCGGTTCCAGGGATTTTTTAAAATTAATTCACTTTAAGCAAGGCGATAATGCCACTAAGATGCAAGGGGCTACTGGGAGTGAAAGAGAATGAAAAAGATTAGAAGGAACCAGAAACCCAATCCTAAACAGGAAAGAAAGGATAAACCTCTACTCCTGTTCAAAAAATTGGGGAGGTGCATGAACCGGACGATAGGCGAAGCCATCTACTCCTAATCACGTAGAGCTCTAATAAATTGAAATTTCTTTTTTAGCTTTTTGAAAACATTTCTTTCAAAATTTTTGGTTAGTTTTTATTAATTTATTTCTTGAACTGAACGTAGAAAATTGAAAGAATTTTGACAAAGTCATCAGGTTTGGCACACTTTCTACTTTTCACCGAATATTTTCACACATTTCTCTGATGTTGATTGCACATGGCCCGTTTGAAGTTCTACTTATAAGGAAGTTCGATTTGATTTTTATTTGAATTATTTTAGCCGATACTGCTTTTTGTGATAACGATGGAATTCTTGTCTGACATAAGGGAAGTTTATCTAATAATACACCGGTAAAGAGGACAACGAAATGGGCTGAAGTTGTGATCTTTGCATAAATTTGACACCAGTGAGAGAGAGAGAGAGAGAGAGAGCTAGAGAGAGAGAGAGAGAGATACAACCTCTTCATGCTATATATTCAAAAAGTGTCAAATAGGGTAAGAAAGAAATGTCCATTATATTCGGTTAGCTAAACTCTCACCTCTCTTTAAATATCAGTTTTGCTCACGGAGTTTTGTTGCGGTTTGGATTAAAAAAAAAATTAAAAAAAATCCATTTACAAAGACACAGCAGCGTGTTGTATTCAAGAAACTAAAGCAATTCAGAATGAAGTCTCTGCCGAATGATATGTGCCTATAACTTCATCTATACTTTCTGCTATCACCA